TTATAAACTCAACAATGGCCTTAAATATTACATACAAATTACTCATCGGTCATCAATGATGTAAAAGTTAAAATTTTCAACTTATTCTCTTGCTATTCTAGATTAAAAATTTATTTATTTTTGTCAACAATATAAGTAACTTAATAATAATTTTTTTAAATAATATGTTATAATTTTTGATAGTTTTAACATTTTTATTGATGACCGATATCCTTCCCGTTATTCACCTCTTTCCCAAATGAATTCAGTAAATAAAAAATAAAGTAAAATAAAAAACTGTTTTCACTTGCGTTAGAAACTTAGTTAACATGCCAAGCAATTATTATGTAACGAATTTTCAATTTTCTTTTATTTTAAATTGCATAATAATAAAAGATGATAATCCTATATTACTCCATCCATGTTTAAGTTTAATATACGTAATTTTTAATTTGCTACATTTAAATTTAGTAGTTTATTTTTTATTTTTATTATTAAAAAAAAAAAAAACTAAGTAAGTGTACTACTAAAGTTAAACAGGGAGTATCTTTTATATTATTTCATCCTAAGATTCTGTTGTACTATTTGAATAAAACATATCATGCTTCTCAGCTAAAACTAAGACTACTAGTGTAACACTGAACTGGTTAGGATGTAACCAACTCTATATTAATATACTGAGGAGATTTAAAGCCAAGGAACTCATTGATCCTTGCACGAGTAAGAGCAGAGAAATACTTCGCTCCATCTTTAATTAAATGGATGGTACAGCTCGTGCGTTAACAAAATGCACGTGCAATCTTGAATTACGCGATGTGTGAACCCTTACCCCATCCTGTGCTTCTGGTACATATGAATCTTACTATGACTTTGGACTCACCCTAAAAAGCTTCTAAATAATCAAATGGATATATACTCGAAGAAGATTAATGTAACAACTTGCCTATATATTATTTAAGAAACAATAAGTTAGCCGTCAAGAGATATTTTAATTAATTAAAAATTTAAGATTTTAAATCGTTTAAAAAACTTATATTTAAAATTTGAGTTAAATAAAAAAATTAATTAAAAAATATTATTGATCTCGTGTATAATTTATTATCATGTATACCAAAAAAATATATACAAAGCAAGAATTAATTAATTTCTTTCTAATTTATTCAATTATATATATGACAAAAATAAATCTCAATATGTGATTTATGTAATTATCGTATAAATACTCTATCCATACTATCAAAATTTAATTTTCTTATATTATATTTTTTCTTTTAATTGCAACAACTTCCCTCATGTCTATATATATATATATATAAAAAATGATTTTGAGATAATTTTTTTATATTATTTTTTTGATATAATTGACATGTTATTTCAAGAATTAATTAATTTCTTTCTAATTTATTCAATTATATATATGACAAAAATAAATCTCAATATGTGATTTATGTAATTATCGTATAAATACTC